AGGATGTAAATTGACAGTGCTGTAAAGTGACAAACCTGCTGCTCTGCCCCTTTTTGCCTTTTCCTTTCACAAACACACACACACACACACACAAAGGCCCGTTGGTGACAACAGGCGATTTATTACCGAGCGCTGACCGGCGTTTTATTTTATTTATTTTTTTTGTCCCGTGGCGAGCGTTTATGCACGAGTGTGTGAGGTGAAAATATGAGTCCAAACACGGTGGGCACTTTGGTGACAATCTGTTCACGTCGGTGTTTGAAAGGGGACAGCAGCAGTAACAGCAGCAGTAACAGTAGTAACAGCAGCAGTAACAGCAGCAGTAACAGCAGCAGCAACAGTAACAGCAGCAGTAACAGCAGCAGTAACAGTAACAGCAGCAGTAACAGCAGCAGTAACAGCAGTAACAGCAGCAGTAACAGCAGCAGTAACAGTAACAGCAGCAGTAACAGCAGCAGCAGTAACAGCAGTAACAGCAGCAGTAACAGCAGTAACAGCAGCAGCAGTAACAGCAGCAGTAACAGCTGCAGTAACAGCAGCAGCAGTAACAGCAGTAACAGCAGCAGCAGTAACAGCAGTAACAGCAGTAACAGCAGTAACAGCAGCAGCAGTAACAGCAGTAACAGCAGTAACAGCAGTAACAGCAGCAGCAGTAACAGCAGCAGCAACAGTAACAGCAGCAGTAACAGCAGCAGTAACAGCTGCAGTAACAGCAGCAGCAGTAACAGCAGTAACAGCAGTAACAGTAACAGCAGCAGCAGCGTCAAATAAAACGGTGTTAAAATAGAAAGTTTCCAATTCATTAAAGCTCTGTGTCTGCCCTCTGAGGTTTCTGTCGCTCTCATGTTCAATTTGGAGATTGGACTTTCAAAGGACAAGACAGGTGGTCCAGAGCCCTGAGGTCTGCTGCGTGTGTGTACGTGTGTGTGTGTGTGTGTGTGTGTGTGTGTGTTTAAGGAAGGTGTCCACTTTGGCCACATCTATTATCTTACCCCTCTCCCACTGGGACATCCCAGAAGCCCATTGATCATTATTAGACCCTGTCATACACTGACACGCCCACACACACACACACACACATACACACACACACACACACTCAAAATATCAATTCCCAGATTACATGCACAAAAACAGAACAATGATTTACATATACACACTCAGAGCCATACATACACATATGCATATGGGCACTTACTTTTTACGAGCGCTGTGACAAGATCAAATGGGTTCAGCACAGATTGCATCCAGTCCTCGGAGCACTCACATCCTCAAGTCAACAAAATGACACGAAGAATGGAAACGACAACAGATGAAAAAGCTGGATCTGAGCTTTCAGCTGCAACGAGATTAAATACAAATATTTATTACCGTTTGTATTTAGTTTCATTTGTTTGCGTCGTACGTCACATGTAGAGCAAACAGAAGAAAGGCAGTTCTTTAGTTAGAGTTAGTTTAATCTTTAATATTGGTATAAATATATAACTGGTTGTTTTTAATCTGCTCTAATCTATTAGGTATTTTTTGTTAGTTCCTGGACGAATGTCATTTTTGGATCTGAATCTTTTTCTTTTCACAACAAAACGTTGTTATGTGATCAGAAAGGCTTTTCTGAATGTCTTTGTTAAAATAACATTTATATAGTTTTTTTCATCATTTTTTTCAGTCTTGTCTCCCCGGCTCCTGAGTTTCTAAATCATCATTTACACAGCAGATTATTTGAACAGCAGATTATTTGATCTACGTCTCCCTTTGTAAACACACCTTTAGCTGTCACGTCTGCATAAATCTTTTCAAACTTTTGGTTAAAAGTGTTTTTAACTTTTGACTAATGACTCCACCCTCCCTCTGTGTCTGTATGAAATTCTCCAGGTGCTTTGAGTGAAGATCCAAACTTCCCAAAGATCCAGTGGCCGTCACCAGACATGTGTCCAGAGTGTCACAACGTGACAAAGCGTGGGGAACACAGGTGGAACAAAGACAAGGCCCTGCGTTTCCTCCTGTCCTACTTCTCATCCAACAGAATTCTACCAGGTAACACTTTCTGTCGCACTTTTCTAAAGGTTTACTGTCCCAAATCCCTGATATGGTTTGAATGACTGGACTAACTGTAATTTTAGTCTTCAGAGATTTAGCCCCATGTCCTTACTGAATCATATATGTGAGAGGGTTTAGAGTTCTATGACTGTAAAACACAACAATCAGTGTCTGTGCGTATTCATTTCAGATTATCTTGAAGATGAAACTCAGATCCTAGCAAAGCAGAGGGAAGAACACGCCAGCCGGCTGTTAGCTCTAGAAGCTGAGAAAAAAGCAGAGAGAAGAGTCAGGGAAGCCCCAGACTTGGAGATCCAACCACTGCCGTCAAATCCTACTGTACAGGAAGAAGAGGAGGAAGAGGAGGAGGAGGAAGGAGAGGAGCCACAGGATGAAGCAGTGGCAGAAGGAGAGGAGGAGGAAGGTGGAGAAGGAGCAGTAGCAGCACAAGAGTCAAACCCTTGGGACAAACCTGAAATGGCAGGAGGTGAAAGGTCTCAGAAGGTACGGAGAAAGCCCAGCATCGTGGGGATGAAGATTCGTAGGAACATGGAGGACCACATCGTAGACCTGGACCTGTTTGAGAACCAGCACTTCAAAGCCAAAGCGCTGCAGCTGGCCGCCTCCAGTCGCATCAAACGACGCAGCCTCCAGAGGAAGGTGGAGCCGGAACCCGGGCCCGTGTTTGGACTCGGCATGGAGCTGGACGGGGGGGTCGGGATGGTGGGCCTGCAGCCGGTGGATGCCGACTTCGACATGGATGTTGGGCAGCAGAGGAAGTGGCTGCAGAAGCGAGACCTGAGCCCCACAGGACACTGGATGTCAACGCTGAGCATCGGATTCTCCAGAGTGGACGTCAGCCTGTGTGTCCTCTTGTACTTCCTGTCCTGTATGTGTCTCCTCGGCATGTACACTTTCTTCCAACACCGCTTCAGGCTACGGCGCGTCAAATTCTCCATGTCCTGAGGGAAAAGAGTAAAAGCAAAGATCCAGCGCTGATCAGAATCAGAACAGTAATGAGAGAATGTTTCAGAGCAAACATCCAGAGGAGGGAAAGGGAAACATCGTCATTTAATCATTTAATCATCCTTCAAGGCATTGTCCAGAAAGTTCAGTGTCTTTGCACATAATCATCCAGCATTGTTGGTTTTTAGTTAATTTTATGTTGATTTTTGTTCATTTTAAAACAGTATTTACCACTTATAAGGTAAGAACGTGAACCTAAGTTAATTTGATTTTTTGTTCTAAACAAATGAATCTCATGTGTTGGCTTCTCTACTAAATCCCTGTGTATTCTAAAGAGAAATTCACTGGCTTATGATGTATATTTACCTGTAAATAATTTACAAATCAAATGAAACAGAAGGATTTATTCACACACTGTGTTTAATGATAACGTTTTTTCAACTAGATTTCTATTTTTTTGTGATTTCTGTCAGTAAAAGGGCTGAGCTTCTGATGCTATGTTACCTTTCTGTTTTGCCTGAATAAAATTATTTTAATAATGATTCCAAGTGTGTCTTAACATCTGACACCTGTCAGTCAAAAACACCTAAAAGCAACGATATGAAACGTGATCAGAGGCTCCTTCTATTGTTCAACCCAAGTGTTCTTTCAAAATTGTGGAAAAATGACAGTATGAAAGTAAAATGACAAAATGGTTCAAAACTCCACTAATTCAGAGATAAAGAAAATATTAAAAGTGAAATTAGTTTGTCCTGCTGAGAACTTCCTAAAGACCTTTGTACCTATGTACATAACATTATGTTTGAAATTGTTTATTACAGGTTAAAAATCAGTTATTTTTTCCACCAATCAGTGCTCGCCAACAGCTCCATTTCTGAATGCTATTTAAAATTTCTACAGACCAGAACGTTGCTGTAAGAAAGAAACAAGTTTGAGACCGTAGCTTTAGCCTCCTTGGTCGTGTTGATGCCCTCGAGGACATCAACACGACCAGGGCAGATCAGGGGGGGTGGGTGGTTGGGGAGGGGGTGATAGAGAGCTAACGCATCCAAGGTTAAAGGAACAAGCCTGTTGCCATCTGCTGTGCAGTGCAAGCTAAACCCTAACAATTTCATTGAGATTATAGCAAGTGTGTAATCCAGCTTTCCTTGTGGACTGGAGGGTAGAGATTACCCTGGAGGATTAGCTCCCTCCAGATAATAAACTTTATTAAAGCGTAATCGGCTTCTGTGAGGTTCTCCTCCCTCCTCACACACTTAGGGATGGGTCTTTATTTTTTTTGTGGGGGGGTCAGAAGTGAGAGGGTGGCTGAGCTGGATGAAAGGGTGAGTGGGGTGTACGAGTTTTAAATGAAAGAATGAGAAGATTGGTTTGATGTCGTCTGGATTACATCTAAAAGACGGAAAAATCTGCTTGATCTTGAGCTTTGTGTTTCGTGGAGCGTTAGCGTTGAATTCCCCCGACTCCTGCTCCTGACCTCATCATCATCTCCACCCTTCACATCGTCCATGTGTCTCTGTGTGTGTGTGTGTGTGTGGTTGTATATTAATATGAACATATATCTGTGAATGCCTGATACAAAAATATTCTCTCAGATAATAATTCATCTTTTGGAAATAGAAAATTAATCATTGCTTTGGATAAAATATTCTCTCAGATAATAATTCATCTTTTGGAAATAGAAAATTAATCATTGCTTTGGATTGACGTTATATTCATATTTTGAAATCATTTCAAACTATATTTCTATAATATATTTCATGATTCCACAGTTGTATTACTTTCAACACACACTCATTACAACAAGATTTCTTTTTTTCTCTACATGCTTAACCATCTCAGTTAAGGTTAAAGTACTTGTCACCCTCACAGCTGATAAGTTAATCTGTTCAATGTTACCTGTGTCTGTGATTGGATTGCAGTCAACAGTCCTCGCCGCTGCCTCCTTCACACAGGGCCCTCTGATCAGATGTCTGCTGGAGCCTGGCTGAGCTGAGAGTGTTCTGCTGCTTCAGACTAATGTATGGTAATGAGGAAGTTGGCAGCAGAGTAATATCTGTCTGCAGTGCTGCCAGTGCTGAGGTGAGTGGTTCACATCCAGGACAGAGGCTTCAGATCTGAGCCAGGACACATTCATGGCTCTTTGTGTTCTCACTGCATCTGAATAAAAAGGGAAAAACACGACATCACGGTTCAGTACACCCTCGGTATGAATGAACAAGCAATTTATTAAAAAATATATAATGTAAAAAAAGTATGATATAGAACCTACAAAGTTCTACCAAAGACAATTAAAAAATAAAAGAAAATAGAAAAAAACAGGTAGTATTTTTAATAGTTGAATTAATAGTAAAAAACTTTCTATTTGCAACAATTTTTATCACAGTACTTGGTCAGAATATAACTGTTATTACCTACACAGTACAATACATAATAATAAATAAATAACAATAAAATTAATAAATAATAAAATACAGTTTTGTTCATATAGAAATTGACTTGAATGAGTTCTTACTTTAAAAAAAAACATTTTATAAACATTTTTTATAAACATTTTTCTCATCTACTCTCATTTATAGAAGGTCAGGTAATTTTGTGGACGAATTGTTTAAGTAGTTTCCAAACTGAACAGTCACAGAGATGACTGGGTCCCCCGACCCCCTCTTAATAACAACACAGAACAAACACAAATGGCCTCTTCTGACCCCAGATCAGTTTGATCAGTTTTTGGTTCCTCTGACTGGTTAATTAAATGGTTAATTAAATCATCTCTGGTCTGGTCGTGATCCTCGCACCAAATATCGCCCCCCTCTGTTCACAGTGAGTCCACTCACCCCTCCCTCCTACAACAACTTTGTTGTTCCCGTGTGGTTGTGTTCAGAGACACTGTTGTGCTGTGAGAGCAAACAGTGAAGGGTAAAAACTTCACCTTGCTGCCCCGTTGTTGTCTTCCATAAATTAGACAATGTGTGGTTTTATAGTCACTTCTCTGCGGTGTGCTCTCTGCCTCCATGTTTATTACCCCTCTGGTATTGATATTAAAATGCAGGGGGGGGGGAGGCAGAGAGGGGGGCTGATGCATTTTTCTGTCATCTCTCTTTCAGACTTTAATAGTACTATAAAGCTTCCTGCTGTGGACAGAAGGAGAGATGGAGAGAGAGGACGGTGGGGGTGAATAAATTATGAAAAAAAAAAAAGCTGTGTTTCCCTTTAGGTTTAAACATTCAGCCTTTTAGAGGCAGGAGTCAAGTAGGGTCAGATCCATCTCATTTTACTGCCGTGGCCCCTCCCCCTTTCATATGGACACTCATCTGAGCCCCCAAAACATTTCATCTCACCCTGGGAGTGTCAATGACCCTGTGTGTGTGTTCTGGTGTGTGTGTGTGTGTGTTTGATCCCTCCCCAGTCTCTTAACTAATTATTCTTATTTCTCCTGCAAAACAAGTTATTTATTTTTAAAAAACGTTATCAATATGACTCAGCGGTCGGGGTTTCAGTTAAAACTAAGTTGATGTTTGAGAACAGTTCACGAAAAGATAAATTATTATTTTGTTGATCTAACGCTGTGACATCAAAATATGTTTCTTTCAAGCTCTTCTACATCAGACACATCTTGTAGCTGATCAGTGGAGCTGTACACCTCTGACCAGGTGGCAGCAAAACACATTCACTTCAGTCTTGTGCCTTCTTATTGTGTAAAAATACTATTTCTATCTGTTTGTATTTGTTGCAAAAGAGAAAATGTCAGCAGAGGACGGTGCCAGTGCAGAAAACACACACCATCGTACAGGTACAGAACTTATAATTTCTTATAGAAATACATTGTTTTTACACCCAAAAAATAATATAAAATAATAACAATAATTTTAAAAAGGAAAATATAATAAAAAATAATGTTATTAATATTATTTTTTATTATTATTGTTGTTGTTTTTTATTGCATTAGTACATAAATCTTGAGGAATAATTGTCATTTTTAAATGACAATTATCAAGTCATTTACCAGGGGCTGTGTGTGTCTGACGTGTGCCACAGTTTTTGGAGTCAGATGAACCTGTTACCACCTGGTCTCAGCCCAACAGGGTCAGGTTCAATCAGGGAATTTGAAGGTATCATTTCTGACAGCAGCGCCGTTCGGTTGTTCGACCAATCTCTCCTACTAATTACCCAAATGGACAGGACCTGTCAGGAGACAATAACTATTCCCTAATAGAATTTGCCCCAAATGCAATTTCATTTTCTCCTCCGTGCGCTCACCCGCGGCTTCCCCTCCTGCTCTTTCCTCCTCTCTCTGTGTTATTCTGCTGCCAGCAGACCAAATGGTGAGGAACACAGAAGCACTGCTGTGTTCCTGCCTGGACTTCTGCTTTTCTCACTGGATTTCTGGAAGAATGGAAGAGTGGACCGGCTGCTGCTGCCGCCGCTTGTGCTGATATCCTTTATCCAGCAGCATGGAGGAGATGAAATTGCACTAGAAGAAGAAGAGGAGGAGGAGGAGGAGGAGGAGGAAGGTAAGGAGGAGGAGGGAAGAAAGGAAAAAAAGAGGCTAAACATCACCGCTGAGCTGTGGTGATTATGTGGCTCTGACTGCATGGAGAAATCATCCTGCTGCCTTTAGTGACTTATTTAGTTATTTTTGGAGAGAACGTATTTGGATGTGGTGTAAATGGTTTTGGTCTGGAGATATTTGGATTTGGACTCTGCTGCCCCAAAAATGGAAACTGTGTTTGGAAAAAGACTTCATGACAGAATGTGTTTTTGATCAAACTGACAGTATTTACTAAATACAATTCATTCTATAAGATACATATATACATACACATATATATATGTACATATATAATGTACATATATATACATTTGCAAAACCCCAAAGTTCCCGATGTCCCTTTAGAGACACAACTCTGTCCCACACTTAAAAACCTCAGCTACATTTTTATTTTGTTTCTCAGGTTTGGTCAGTGTTTTGTTTTTCCTTTTGCCGACCTTTACTTATTGTTTATTTTTGGCTCAAATAAACCAATTTATGATATTATGTTTTGTTATTTTCTATATCAATTTAAGCAATTTTTTGTCCAATTTTGTCCAATTTTGGCTTTCTTTTAGAAGACAAAAGCATAAAATTGTTATGCAGCTGTTACGTTGCTATTTCCTGACCAGACTTTAACATTTACTGAGGAAACATCATATTTTTTAGCTTGGTAAATTTAGGTTTTTTTATAATAGCTTTGTACTATTTCTGCCTCAAATAAACCAATTTATGATATTATGTTTTGTTTTTTTCTATATCAATTTAAGCAATGTTTTTGTCCAATTTTGGCCTTTTTTCGTCTAGGCAAAAACATTAAGTTGTTATGTTACATTTCTTGACCAGGCTTTTACTGAGAAAATATCTTATTTTTAGCTCGGTGAAGTCAGGTTTTTCATTTTACCGTTAAACTATTTTTGTGGGGATAAAACTAACAGAAAACAAACAAAAATAATCTTGGTATTTTCATACATATTTTGGCCTATTGATAAAAGGATTTTGATTGATTTTATTTTGTTTATTTTACTAATATGCATTGGTTAAATTTGATACATAAAACTTCTATTTGTATTTTATAATATCAATTAAAAGTATATCTTGGCTAACTTATCTATGTATATTTCATTTGTATTTGAGTTTTTAAGGCAGTATTTTTTTTTTTTTCCATTTGTATTTGACTTTTTAAGGCAGTATTTTATTTATTTTTTTGGTGTCATAGTTTCATCAAATTCCTGGCTGAGTTTAATTCATCTGGCTTTATTTATGCTGTATTAGACTTTAGGTTTGGGCCTGAAGAATATCTCTGATGGGCCAGGTTTGTGCCCCCAGACCACCATTTGATTTGACAGACTTGAAGCTGGTTTGTGATTGTGTATTTCTGGGCGGCTGCTGTGAAGATGGATCTGTGAATTGCAGAATAAAGTCGTCCACTGAAATATTAGATCTAATTAGAGGTGTCTGGGTCAACAGCGGTGGCAGAGGAGTCGCCCTCTGTTTGAGTTATAGCCTGAGCTGCTTCCTCTCTGTAGCCACCCCCCCCCCCCCCCCCCCCCCCCCCCCCCAACCCCACACCCCCACCACACACCCCC